ACCATCGTAATGAGTGTTAAATGAGGTGAATTCCATCCAAGCTCTTCCATATTCTCTATCGCTAACAACAATGAGAGTCGTAACAACAAGGAGATGCAAGCCTGGAAGGAGTATTGCAAGAAAAAAATGTTCTCAGACAAATAGATGTTGAAAGTGTGAAATGTAGTAAAAGTGTTTTATGAGAGTTTGAATGGTGCAAAGATGATCGGTCCAGAAAGAAGCATGATAATAATATAAAGAAAGTGAAATTATGATAGATTGAATGAACATATAACTCTATAAGAAATGTTTCTCCTAGCGATACGAAGTTGTGACTGATTATCACGTGACTAAAAAAATATTGTTGTGACGTGATAATCACGACACTAAATTTTTTATATTAAAAAAATAAATAAACGTTCACATGGTGGGATCATACGTCGTAATCAAAAAGTTAATATAAAAATAAAACTCTAACGTTCATATGGAGGGATTTTTGAAAATTTTTAAAAATTTAGTTGTGACGTAATTTTCATATCGCAACATTCGAGGGAGAAAATATCTGACTTGAACTTGACTTGGTTTAGTGTTGTGCAGACGGAACGAATAATATTTTTTATCGTCGGGTGTATTGCGACGTAAATCTCACGTGACAAGGTTGCAACGTGATTTTAACGTCGTTATGTGGTATATATACAGAACGCTCTCGTTCACATATCTATATTCATGCATTGTTGTTCTTCTTCTTCCTTGCGTTGCTGTTTCTTCTTCTTTCCTCCTCTATTTTCTTCATTGTTTCACAAATCTACTGTAAATCTCAACTATTCCAAATTTATAATTTTATTAATATTGGTAATTATTTTATATAATTTAATTTTAATATATTGATATAATTTTATTTATTGTTTATTATATTTTTTAATTAAAATTTTGGTTTAATTTGTTTTGTCAAAATTAAACAACATTGAAGAGTTTAGAAAAAGATTGAAGAAGAAGATTGATTGAAGGAGATTGAAGAAGAGGTATTTATGTAATTTTATTTTTTAATTTTTAAAATAGACTAATTCACGTGGCAACTGAGAAATTGTGACATGAAAATCATGTGACAATTGAGAAGTCGTGGCGTGAAAATCACGTGACAACTCTTTTAATAAAATTTAATTTAATTTAATATAAATTAATATATATTTAATTTAATTTTTTTATTGAATGTGTAGGAGGATTATCAGACATTACTCGCAAATTTTCTGGTCCATAATCCTGAATATACTCCGGGAGAGGGAGAACCGTTTCATCTAGATGTAGATTTTTATATTTGAAATCAAGTCATTGGCGGAAAAGACTCTAACGGTTGTTTTTTTGGTGGTGGAAATTTGGCGGGCACCTTGAGAAATGAGGATAAAATTCTATTTCAAAGAGTTAGAGATGGGGAAAGAGGGTCACGTTAACCAAATTTGACACCAGAACAACTTGAAACAGTAATACAATTGGCATTAAATGAGGCGAGACGCGAGTCAGCGCAACGTGAGGCGGCAATGAAAGCCTAAATAGATGCCCAAATTAAGGCAATGAGGCAAGAGCAACAACGACAAATGGAGATCATGGCGAAGAGGCAAGCTGATTTTCACGTCATAATTTAGTGACGTGAAAATTACGTCGCAACTTGATTTTTTTTATATAAAAAAAACAAAAGTTGAATATAGAGGAAAGTGTTAAATATAATTAATTAGTGACGTGATTTTCACATCATTAATTTGTAAGTTCAGCTCTCAGGGCTGGAGACTTGATCGAGGAGGACGGTCAGAGTCCTCTGAACGAAACGAGTTGTTGCATGCCGGGGACAATCTGTTCAAGCATGTCGGGGACGATGGGTGAATGAGCAGTGAGACCGAAGAGGTCAGTCGCTTGCTCGAGAGGACCGTATTAGTTACGGGGAGCCTCCAAGAGAGCTCTTTCGACGTGCCCGTCTTTAAAGTGTCGAGCATTATTTCATTTTTGAGGTAGCTGAATGGATGTGCCCGCGCACGCGCCATATCGTTGAGCATTCCCTCGCGGGGGGATATCTGCCTCGTGCCTGTATGGAAATTACGCCTTAGTGTTGGGGATATGCTCGTTGATCTAGGAGGGACACTTGGTTGACTGTTGAGCCACGTGGCTAATGCCTTGGGGTGCCACTCCTTCAAGGGGAAACCCAAAAGGCCCAATCAAATGATGACCTTTCGTGATGGACCTCGTGGGGCGTGAGTCACCTATAAAAGGGGGGCCCTGGGTCTCGTTAGGTATGAGGTCGGGGATATCTCCCCGGATAGTAACCATGATACATGGGGCGTTCTCCCCGGGTAACGAGGGTTAACTCGGGCTTCTTGTTCGTTGAGTGAATACCCCCCCGACAACGTAATCTCCCAACAAAAACATAGTCCGTTTTAGCGTGTAATCGAGGGCTTGGGTCGAGTTCGTCGCCCTTTCACTTGATCTGCGGCGGAAGGGTGGATTTGATAATGTCGAATTCACTGTTTTCCCCTGCTTTTCAGGTACAATGGCACACTCAGTTAGGGATGATGTTCTGGACGCTAATTATGAAGACGAGTTACACGGTGATGAGGACCCTTTGGCTTGAGTTGCTCCTGAGCCTCTAAGTAAACTGTCGTTCTTTTCTCAGAACGCTATAGACGCGTTTAATTGTCCGGAGGAACGGGCGGAAGGGGCCTCTACTAACTGGATGCTTCAAATTCCCCATCGTAATAGGAGAATATGCTCAACGTACCCAGGAAAACGCTTCCCCATGTATGAATTTGCATTCAAAGAGGCGGGGATGTGTTTGCCCTTCAATGATTTCCATGTCAGGGTTTTCCAGTGGCTTTAGTTGGCGCCCTCTCAACTTCACCGGAACGCGCTGGCGTTCATGCGAGCGTTCGAGCTTGTATGCCAGTACATGCAGATAGGGGCCATGCTGCCCCTCTTTTTCCATATCCTTCATCTCCAAAGGCAATCTGTCGGAGGGGGGCAGGCGTGGGTGTCGTTCAAGCGGTTTGGGAAGCTTTTTAGACCTTACTTGGAGTCTGTCCGGAACTTCAAAGAGAGGTATTTTATTGTGAAGCCTCTGATGGGTGCAGCCATAGATTCCCTGTATACTCGCATGGAAGAGATGGAGGAAGGGCGGCCAGTTACCCGGCCCGTGGCCAGATCTCCGCTCGAGTGGCAATGGAAGCACTTCGAGCAAAGGCCCGAATATTACGCTGTGAAGCCCGAGGACCTGGACGCCCAGGACCAACTTTCATATGAAAATCTATCGGCCTATGTTAAGAGTTTCTCCCCCGCGAAGTGCGTGGATATGAACAACAACCTCATGTTCGACAACGAGGGGGAGTATCTTTTAGTCAATAAGTTGTTCAACATAAAAGCCCTACTCGAATGCTCCTCAAACGGGGAAGCCATGAGGCTCTTAGGTAGGGGACGTAGCCCTGACGATTAATTTTGCTCGTTTTTATCCGGGAACATACTCTCTCTATTTTTCGTACTCTTAACCTGACTAACGGTCCTTTTTGGTTGCAGGTCGAATGACTTCTCTTCCCGAGCGTTTGTTAACGTTGAGGCCCAAGAATGCGTCCACCTCCGGGCCAAGTAACAGAGTCGCTCACCTCCAGGAACAGGCCAAATCTTTGGGCCGTTCCAGAGGGAACAAGTTAGAGGCTCAATGTGAACTTTATGCAAAAAGCTTGCTTTACAAGAATGACAATGTTACTTTGTGCCATTAATGGAAATGCAACTTGGATAATAGCTCAAATGCTTGGATCAAAGCTCTAACAGCTGTGTAAACATTTAATTATGGAGTGACAACCAAGTTTGATGCCTGCAAAGCAAATATTATGCAGCCTAGCATGGATTTGGTTCATGTGTTCATCAAAAATGGCTTGTAATTCAAGTGACAAAACCCTAACTTCATTTCTTCGATTCTCCCTACTCAAGAATGATCTCAAGGAGTTATTTGACATTTTGGAAATATTGAAATGTGATATACAAGCCATATTTGAATTTCTTTTGAAGATTCCCCTTGGAACTATGTGGAAAAGTGTCATGAAGTTAGGTCAAAATCCTGGCTAAATTAGGGCAAAATTTCACTAAGTGTTTAGTTTCATGACCCTATGTTCATAAAATCATAACTTGTGATCCAAGCATTTTTGGAAGAAGTTGTGTAAATAAAAGTTGTATATTTCATGGATATCTACAACTTTCATGTTGGAAGTTTTTCTTGAATCATCTTGCATCATGGTGAAAATTTGGCTCAAAGTTATGAAAAAACATGAAATTTCCAACACTTAGAAAAATTTAGATTAGAAATTTTGACTTTTCAAAATGAAATCTTGACTTTTTGATTTCTTAATGAATAAGTTTCATATTTTGACATATTTTGATGAATTATGATCTTTGGAACTTGAATTTGACCAAAAAGTCAAAGTTTGACTTTTCAGTATACAGTTGACTTTTGATCAGTTGACTACAAAATTCATCTGTCAATCCAATGGACATGCAATATTTTGAACCATGTCATTAGGTCAAAAATTATGCAATTGGACTCTTGAGATCATGCCTTAAACCAATTGACCATTTTCTAGGTCAAAAATCAGAAATTGCCCTTTCCCAATCAAAACCCTAATTTTGACCATTT